CCATAAAGCTGAAATTTGGTATGTAGGTCAGTATTAGTAAACAAACAGTAGAAATTTATAAAACGTAAAGTGGAGGTGTAACGTTAAGGTAGAAGTTTGTATTAGACTTCTACGTATTTTGATTTAGATGTCTGAAAATTGATATAAAAGAGACTCCTTGTTATAATTAATGTTATAACCAACATACACAAAAAAAAGACGTTTCCAAGACGAGACCAGTTGGCTCGCACTATCCAAAAGTTATCGGATTTATTGTAGAGCCAAGCTTCTAACTACACGCCTCAACTCTTTCGACGGGCCTGTTGGTCTAGTGGTAAGTGACCCTGACTGCTAAACCGGAGGTCGTGGGTTCGATTCCCACCCAGGACAAATATTGTGTGATGAGCACGGTCATTTGTTCTGTGTCTAGGTGTAATTTATCTATAATATGTGTGTATTTAGAAATATATAAGTATGTTTATCAGCAGTCTGGTTACCATAGTACAGGCTCTGCCTAGTTTGGGATCAGACGGTCGTGTGTGAGTGTGTGAGATATATTACATTAATATTATATTACTCTACAAGACCTTTTTTTCATTACTTCTCTGTTTTACAATATTTTTTGTAGTAACGAAACAGCCAAGCCACATATGACTAAGATGTAGAGTTTGTGAATGTAAGGCTTGTAGAGTCAGGGTGTGCGGAGTTAGAAGCTTGGCTCTACATGAGATCTGATAACTTGTTGACAGTGCGAGCCATATGGTCTCCTCTTGGCAACTTTTTACATAAAAATGTTTTTGGTGGAATTATTTTAATAACTTTATTCCTACTTCTTAACAGTTCAGTACATTCAGCAGAACCCTTATTTATTTCCTTGTATCTATTTAAAACAGTCCAATTTCTCTTAATCAAGTGTACGAAATTTTCAGTTCTTTTTTTCTCCGAGATCTACTGGATATAAAAATTTATAAAACAATAATTCAACTTTCACAGTAAAATCTAAACTTAAATTCATATCTCATGGGTAACGTAACATATTAACACATAATTTTTAACATATTATGTCACCTTTTTTTCTACTATAATACCTGTTAACACACTGACTAACAACAAATTTAATGAATATTGAGTATCTGCATTTATACAGGCATATTGTCTTTATAAACCGTAGATCGCTAACCACACCATACCTACATCCTAAATTTCCAGTATGTTTTTTTTATTATCTGTGATAAGTTTAACGTCTTAAAAATAATGATGAACATTAATAAAAGAAGAGATAACCCGCAGATTAGCCTACGGCATTTAAGTCAAAGCCAGCATAATCATAGAATTTAAAAAGTAATCAATCCATTCTCTTAGGCAACGTTAACAAATTGTGTCTTCAATGACTCGTAAAATCTCATGACTCTCACTCAACTAAATAATATTGTGAAATATTTGAAACATTCGCGCGCGTGTCATAATGCATGTAGACTTTAAAACGATATTAGTATATTTAAAAAAATACAAAAGTATCGTAATCACTCAACAGTTATGAAGAACATTCCTCTTTTATTCTTCAGCTCAAACGTTTCTGAACATGTGTACATTTACGTGTGTATGTGTGTACATTTACGTTTATTTATGTGTATAAAAAACAATATATATTTACTCGATGATCTATTTTTTCTTTGTGGCACTAGATTTACTTTTTATAGTTTTGAGTAAAGGTAATGACAAATTTTTGTTTTAATGACGCAGTTTAAAAGGTTAAATTTGTAAAACATAGTTAATTTTGAAATGGAAACTGTGAAAAAACACACAACCTGTGAGCATTGTGAGAAAATACCTGTCTTTTACAACTATTTTTTGTATCTGGTTATCTGATATCTAGATACATAATATCTATAGCTTTTCTAAAAGCCTAGTTTTTTAATCTGTCTACAAACACCCTCTTTTAATTCAAGCTAATGAATTAATTGTTATATAATAACTTAATCATTCAAGCTTCACTGCTTACTGTTCACTATATAACTTCTAAAGCTATATTTTTGTGACGGTAACATCCAATTATATACCCAGAGGTCACAACGGCTAATAATATTAACATCCGCTAGAACTGCTTTGTTTGCTATGAATTTATCAACAAATATTACACTTAATGAAACTTAATTGTTGCTTAATAGTATCGTTTGTGAGAAAAATGCTCTATTGTAAAGTTTTTTTTGCTATTTGTTATTTGAAAAAAAGGGCTCTAAGTCTAAGAATTAAACAGTGGGAGTATTTAACACAAATAAGTTTTTACTCTTTTAAGATCTCCCTCCAAATACCAGATACGAGACATTACGTTGACGTAAGTCGAGATGTATCAATTTTCACACAGTCCATAAGTCAATAGCTACAAAACAGTTTCATAAACTACTCCTAATCATTGTCCAATACAAATATTTTAGCCAAAACAGATAATTTAAATTAATCAAAAATATTAAAACTTAATTGTTAATTTTAGAAAATCTTAATGCTAATGATGTGATAAAAGCTCATCTTATACTATAGGTGTAGAGGTAAAAGATCCTTGAAAAACTAAAATATTTGCAACAGCGAGCCACCTGAGCAGGTAATATGAACGAGATTGTCCACAATGTGACCTCCGCTTCGCCGAGTAATATGCTAATTTAGATATTTATTAGGCAAGAACGGTCCAATATTTGGAACTGTTCAATCGGTGCTAGTTTCACAGACATTATTAAATTTCATTTTTAATGTTCAATGTTAAAGCTTTTCCACATTTTGTTCGGAATTAGTCTACAAATCAAATTAGTCAATGTTAAACTTTAATTAAGGCATTCGTACCAATACATTTGATGTCCAACTTTAGAGCCTAATCCATACAAATAAATAAAATTGGTGTGTCTGTTTGTAATATTAAAATAACAGCTTTTTACTTAATGCATATGTATGTTTTACACGGTACATATGCCAAAATAACATTTTTTCAATTTTTGTCTGTCTGTCTGTCTGTCTGTCTATTTGTTCCGGGTAATCTCTGGAACGGCTGGAGCGATTTCGACGAGACTTTCACTGGCAGATAGCTGATGACATAAGGAGTAACTTAGGCTACTTTTTTTAGACTAGCTTCGCCCCGCGGCGTTGCCCGCGGTTATAACAACAAACGCGGGTAACACCGTGGGTCTCAGCTAGTCATATTTAAATGCGTATGCTTATACCAACAATTAACAAGTAGAACACTACTCCTATATGTTATTAATGATGATTATTTTTATCCACCCACGTTGCATAAATTTGCATTGAAACTTACTGAGGACTGCGACAGCGAAAGACGTGATTTTTTGGATACAATATACATTTTTAAGTATTAAAAATGCAATCATACAACTTTTTTTGTAACGAATGACCTAGATATTACTTAGAACATACAAGGCTATGGAAATAGTTTAAATAATATTGATCGACATAACGGAGCAGACGTCATCGCGAGAGGCGGCGAGGCGGCGGCAGTGCAGCGATGCCGTCCAGACATAACGCGGCCGCCGCCCGGCTAGACATACTCGTACGTCGCGGATTTTGATGTGTAGGTAGAATGTAGAGTCGTCGCAAGCCCGCGAAACAAGCTTCCATATTTACTTATCCAGTGCCAAGTTGCTTACCGGTTTCACACGAGTGGGCGCTACTAGTTCTTTTTCGTATGTTAATTAGACCAGTATCTAATGCTATCACAATATAATGTCCTACAGGTTTAGCAATTCATTTTGTTGTCCAATATACATATTTTAATTATAGATATGTAGTTCAGAATACAGGTCGTAAGCCTATGTAGTATAACATTAAGTTTTTGTATAAAAGTACTAAGGAATGGACTTGTGTTATTTGTAGTTACAACTATGAAATTCATTTAATACATATTTGCATACAGCGCCTCCCATATGTAACTAAGTTATCGCATACACCTGCGATAATTGCCACTGTTCCAAACGTTGTAGTATAATACCCCACGGATTTAAACCACAACATGCGACACAGTGACGGTTTCGAGACACCTCTACTGTGCTATCCACGCTGGCAAATTCGGTACATCTTTTTATATGGTTACTTACTTTAAACAAATAAATTTCCCTAATAGATAAATCTAATCCAACATTAAAGGTACATTAACAAATAGCCTTTTCAACGTACACATCGCGACAGTTAACATGCAGGCGTGTTGAATGTGATTAGTTCTATCGCTTAAAGAACACAGCTCAGAACGAGATAAAATTAAATTGGACGCTAAAAGTAAGAGATACTGCGCGACCTTGGGGCAGAGCAGTTTGTTCCGGGTTCGGTATTCCACAGACCAACCGGTCGCTGCCCCTCACAACTTCTCGCCGCTGCACTCACCTCCATGACTCTATGTCACTAAACATAAGAGATACATTCTGCACTGGACCCTACTATTCATTGCAGCCAAATGCATGTTCATTGTAATACAATTTTCAACACTGTATTATAATGACTGTGAATAGATGTTTTCTTGTTTGTAATATAGAAACGATACTGTTAGATTTAAAAAAATATAGGTCATTGTACATATTGTAATTTATTTGAAAGGCTTTTTCAGTTAATTGTTATTTTAGATGGATCGCAACAGGAGAGGGTTGTACACTTGGGGCACACGCCTGATATACGAAATAAATATGAACATTGTGTGATTGCTGGCTCATCGTTTACCAATGGACAATCTTTCTTAACCAGTTTTCTTGTTTTATTCAAAAACTTAACTGCAATAAAAATCTTTGCTTACAATTTTTATGGCGCAACAACAAATATTGAATAAAGAAAACAAACGAATACTGCTAAAATATTTTATTAAGATTTAGCAATGTTTTATAATGAATTAAATAATAAGGCAATCACGTGGTATTTTATGCAACTATTAATGAGTATGAAGTTAAATTACAATATCATTAGAAGCAAAAGCTGAGATTAATATACCGATGCGGCGTTTTCACCTATCACAATTTCTTTGGAATAAAAATGTCCTACTTATTTTTAGTATTTGACTCGTCAATCGTAGTCATAGCTGAGTCGATAGCAAGGTTTATGTGGAATTTATTAAGGTCACTACTTAAAGAAGTTAAGTTTGTGTCACTATCTGAGTCGACGTCATCCACTTCTGGTACAATTTCATTCGTAGTCTCATTGTTGGATATGGCATTAGACCCAGTCGGTACCGCGGCATCCTCCACGTTTTCAGGTACTGTTTGTGCTGAGGTTGTAACTTCAATTGATACAATGTCAATCTCCGTTTCTTTGGGTGACTCGGCTACTTTATTTTCTTCCAGCGGCCTAAATATCTCTTGAAGTGAAGAAACTTTCTTTTCCGAGGGAATTATTCTATTTAAATATACTAATATATCTGAGAGTGAAACAATTCCTACCAGTTTATCTTCTTTATTAACTAACAATAATCGATGACTCTCAGTTCTAACTATAACTTCTAAGGCCTCATATAAAGTAATACTTGAACGACATTTTTGTAACTTTTCTTCCCAGTCTTTCTTTTTATTTCTTACTTCACCTATGGTCAACGACAAGTTTGAATATAATTTTTCACTTACTAGGTTCAATACTTCATATTTTGCGTAAACATCGACAAGAATCCCGTTTTCGTCTAATATTGGCAAAGCCGAAACATCTTTTTCTAGCAACAACTGAAATGCTGATCTAATAGGTGTATCATCTGTGACAGACACGATATCTTCGTAAGTTCCGATTTTTAATTCAGTTAATGTTTTATGAAAGAATGTTAATTCAGGGAACTCATTGAGATACACAAATAAAAACCTCAAAATTCTCTTATGTGAGAGGATGTACAATACGTCACCATTTAGAGGATCAATCATCAAGAGACGATGGACACGATTTTTTGTAAGTAAATTGATGGCGTCGTGAAGAGATTGATCGGGACCAGCGCTACACAAAGGTTTACGTGTCTGTCTTAACATCTTTCTCCAAGTATGAAGTGTATGACGTTCCAACTCTTCTACTGATATATTCTCTTTATCGAGATGTAGAAGAATTCTTATGAAATCAGTTACTGTTATCATTCCGACTAGAAGCTTTTTACTTGAATCCCAAAGTGGTGCTGAGCGAATACCGTGAGAAATAAGAGTGGGGAACGTTTTTCTTACAAAAAATTGCGTATCAAATATTATAACTTTTGCAGACTTTGGTAATATTTCATAACATTTATGATATTTAAAGAAATTTAATAGAAGTCTCGTTTTATCTCTTCCCCCTATTGATATTTGTACAATCGATAAATAAGGATCATATTTCGGAAGCCCTCGAACTTCCCTAAATACTTGCTTCGCTTGCGTAGGATCTAAAGAAGCATATGAGTTTTTATGATAAGTAGGTGAAGTGGTTTCAATAGACGATCTCCTAATTTTTTTTGTATTCTTATTTTTTACATTATCTGACGAAGACTGATTACTTTCTGAATGGGGTTTGCTGCGAAAAATATCCATTACTCTAGTAATAGGACTATATTTTCTAGAAGAAGCACCCGTTACCGTATGGTAGTACTTCCTATGCGAATCTTTCGTCTCAGCGTTATGCTCATCTGGTGTGCTCTCATGGGATTCAGCAGTTTTTACTTGTTTAGGAGGATATTTCTTTGCATCACTTTTTCTTCTTAAACGGAAAATATCAAAAATAGAGCTCCGTGGACTAGAAGAAGTCCCATGAAAAGTTTCATATTCCTTACTACCACTACCAGATTCTCTTTCTGCACTCGATGGTCTAGACGTGTCTGCAGTTTTATCCTTAAATATTGACCTTACGTGAGGTCTTTGTGACTCCACCCCCCTAGTACCAAAATGGACTGTATGTACATTATTATCTGCTACACTAGAAGGAACTTTATCGTCTGTTGTGGCTAATGTGGTAACAACAAATTTCTTTCGCTCACCAACAACAGTTTGATTTTGCGCATCAGATTGAAGCTTTTTCTTTTTGTTCTTGTGCTTAGGTTTGCCATGTTTGTTCGGGGATTCGGTCGTCGCGGATTCATTTTCTAAAATTGGATCCATGTCCAAATATATTTACAAAAGAATGCTTTATACCTTTATCTTAGAGTATAATTCAGGAATGCGCTTGCCATTACCTGAAACAAAAAAAAAGGCTCACATATAATATTTTTAATATTAAATGTATATAGAGAGAGAGACACAGATCGTAAAACTTTAAATCTAAATCCCCATTCTTTCCTCTTCTTTTGGAGATTTAGCATAATAAATATAAGATTCGGCATGAGAAAACTCAGTCAGTGTCAAAGAGGTGGCGGACTTTTTCAATACCCAAGAATTATTTACAATAAATATTCTCACCGCGTTGACTACAGTCTATCCAATTGACTATTTAAATAACTACTGTATTAACAAACAATAGCGTATTAAATAAAAATAAAAATGTAAACACACCACCACAAATCACTTCAAAGATACAATATCCAATCATTCAAGACATAGACAGTATATATTATTTTTATACTAAATTATTTTACATAATATTTCATCAAATGGTCGGTTTTAACCATTACAATATGAATGGCTAAACGCACGACTAACTTCACGATAATATCATGCAGTTACTAAGTTCATTTATGATTGTCTTAGTCTACATTAATGGTAAAACCAAACATAGATTGAAGTATGATCAATAGTTGATAGTTAAACAATTCGGACAGTTCATGAAATCAAACACATCATAAAGTTGCCAGTTCTAAGATCTGGCCTCGATGTCGAACATCTGTCTCTATAAAGTAGACGTTTAACACACCATGCAAAAACTTTTATATCATATCAGTGGTTAAAAGATCCCAAGAAGTCAAAAATATTTTTGACGTCGAACTGGTTAATAATTTAGAATATCATATTACACCAGAAGACCAATTCTACCCAGAAATACCCAGCCATAGGGTATTTCTTAGGTGGTTTAATTAAAAAAAAAATACTCTTTACTTTTTATAAAAAAAAAAAAGAAGAAGGTACAAAGAAAGGAAAATGACGGTAATGCTACATTCATTCTAAATCACATAATCATTCTAACATTATTATAAGAAAAGTAAATAAAAAAAGTATCATTTTTTGTGTTTAAAGCAAAAAATAGATAAATAAAAAAACCTATTGTCAATTAAATGTTCCGGTGTTCAAATTAATTAATCAATTAAAACAATATCCAAATAATTAGTTAATTGAAACAATTTTCAAATTCTTCACAATAGACGTTTGTTTTTTTCGTAATATGATAAAATGTTTCAAGTTCCAAGTTTGCGTAATGACCTTTCCTTTATACAATGATAACAATTCTCACCTGAGGGTGTTTGTGTATTTGCCTCGGTCATCGTAATCTAGTTGGAATTTCCAAACTACCGGACATTTTTGGTTCATACTAGAAATAAAGTAACAAAAGTGCGCGCATATTATAAACTAATGTTGATTTATATGGTGCAATCTAATGCTTACTGTAGTGATTAACCAAAACGGACTCCCTACAAATATAATATGGACAAGATAAGATTTCGTGTGAGTACATAAAACATAGGACAATGGAATCTCTTTTCTTAACTTTTTTGAGTCATTGATTTAGAAACGTACGATCGCTGTTCCTTGTTATTACATTGTTTATTTATATATTATGCTCACTAAGTGGACTGTAACGTTCTTGAGTATAATAAAGTTCTTTAAACCTACATAAATACAGTACAAAAGTATATAAATACATACACATTATATTATTGACAATTTGATATTTAAAAAAAAAACACGAGCAAGTTGATTCTGCCAGTTGTTTCATCAGATACTGCTTTACTTTTACTTTAAAAAAAAGTGTTGGTCACCATTCTGATTTCGAGCGGAAGCGCATTTCAAAGGAGAACGGACTGAACGAGAAAGGATGAGCCAACGAACTCAGATGTATGAGAGGGACAACGAAGAAGAAGGTTATTGGAGGACCGAAGGTTTCTATCGTGATTGCTGCATAAGAGTTGAAAGTAGAAGCTATATAGTTGTCGCAGATGTAGTTATTTAGAATGGTAAATAGGACAGTGAGAGCGCGTCATTTACGACGTAGACGAATGGGTAACCAGTTAAGCTGCGAACGGAAAGAGGATACATGATCATATTTACACATGTTAAACATGTATCGAATGCAGTTATTAAGAAGACGGTCCAATTTATTGAGAAGACCTGCATTCAGGTCGTAACAGCACACGTCACCATAGTCGATTATTGAAAAGATAAGAGTTTGCACAAGCATGGTTTTGGTTTTAGCGGGCAGAATTTTTTTTAGGCGCTACAGTGCTCGAAGAGTTTCGGTAGCCCTCTGGCACAGATATACAACTTGATAACGCCAATTAGTGTGAAGTCAAGGTGCAAGCCAAGATCTTTAACAGATTCACAAACAGGTATAATAGAACCATTAAAAATAACAGAAGCGTCTTAATGTCTATTCTACTCATTAATCGGTGACTTCCAATTATAATAACTTGACATTTTGTCGGGTTTACTGATAGGCCAAACTTGTCAGGCCATGTTTTAATTGATTCTAGGTCTCTATTTACCATATCTATTGCTAATGAGATATCTTCAACTTTACTTTATAAATAGATTTGCAGGTCATCGGTATACAGATGATACGTACTATAAAGTCTCAGGTTTAGGAGATTAATATACACAGAAAATAGCAAAGAAGAATGAATACCGAATTGAGGGACACCAGAGTCAAGGTCACACCAGCTAGAAGAAGATCCATCTACGCGAACAGACTGTTGGTATCCCTGAAAATAAGATGAGAACCATTCCAGTGCTTTAGGTGAGACCATGAGATGGGAATGGGATAGATAAGAGTATATCGTGATTGACGGTATTGAAAGCGTTTCTGAAACAGACCAGCCTTTTATTTGTTGTAAGCACCCACTAAGTAAGAATTTTTAAATATTTCACCCCTAAGAGGGTAAAATAAGGGATGAATGGTTGTGTGTAAGTTCGTCTTTTTTAAAAAAAATTACGCTAGTGAAGCCGCGGACAAGAGCTAGTAATAGGTAAATACGTATATTTTATAATTGTATTTCAAAATATACGTATTTATCTTCAAACATTTTTTCAGCTTTGATAAGATTGTTTTAACAAATCATTTTCGTCTATCCGTAGCCATATGTTTTTGTAAACTATCACCATTGTGTACAAGCATTCAGGTAGAAAATCGACAGCCGATAAAGTCTACTATCACCTAGCAGCGTTTACTATCGCATATCGTATATTGATAGTCTGCAGTGAGATTGCTATTTACCGAGCTTAATCAGCGCGACACATACTGATAAGCACTGGTTGCCAGTTCACACAGTGTCATGGTGATTTAGAAATGACGTAGCGCTTCACAATTTACTGTTCGATCAGAACATGATAAATACTATTTTATTCGCTTCGATTATCCTTTATTTATCAGTACTAATCAATATTAAACTATTAGTTTATTTCGATCTGACTGCGCGGATAGCGTAGTGGTTTAAGCGGACACCTCGCCGCTTTCTACTGCGCTGAGTGTTGTGGGTTCGATCCCCGCATGGAACAACACTCTGTGTGATCCACAAATTGTTGATCTGAGTCTGTGTGCTCTTTGTGTAATTTTCATGTATGTTTAGAAATTCCCCCGCGACACAGAAATATATACCTAAAGCCGTAGTTGTCTTTCAAAAAATAAAGGAGTAGACGGGTCACTCCGGGGACGGGTGATGGTAAGTGACTACCACCGCCCATAGACACCTTCACGTCACAAGTGCGTTGCCGTCTTTTCTCGTCACCCTAGAATCAGAAGGGGCCCTAACTCTTGGGTGAAAAGCCACGAAAGAATAGTTTAATATCGGTTTTCTGTAAGGCCGTGGGATCACTGCGGTCGAGCCTGCCCATTTCTACTGAAGCACGGCTATTCTGTGTCGTCCGTCCTTGTGGTGACGGATTAAGAATACAGACTGTCACCACCCCTATTCATCTCTTGGGTGTCGTAAGAGCACGGAGGGAGCAAACTACGTAGGACAACAGCACTGCAAAGAGAAGGGAAACTTGAAACAAACCCTATACCAACCTGTCTGGGCAGCGTGGTACAGTAGGCCAAAACCTCCTTTCTAATAAAAAGCCTATGTCCAGCAGTGGGCTATTAAAGGCTGTTGATAATGATGGCTCTCGTACAGGTGATTTCTGATATAATCATTTCTTTTATTTCATTTTTATTCGCATTTTCTTTCTTTATTACTCTGCGAAAGTAGTCTGTGTAGTAAGATTTATATATTACACATGCCATTACGAGTATAACCACTCTGTGAAAATAGCTTATATTATTATGACCGGCCTGTTGATCTAGTGGTTAGTAACACTGACTGCTATGTCAGAGGCCGTTCCCACCCAGGGCATATAACTGTGTCATGAGCAGGATTGTTTGTTCTGTATCTGGGTGTAATTTATCTACAATCTTTTACACTAATAATATACGAGTAAAGCTGAAGAGTTTGTTTGTTTGGTTGAACGCGCTTATCTCAGGAACACTGGTCCGCTTCGAAAAATTGAAAATTTCGTCTTTCAAATAGACAGTTTATCATTTTATATTTAAATATGCATCACCAAAAAAAAGTTAAATAACAAACATTTAAAACAATGCTTGTTTTATTACATCTATTTAGAGCTGATCAGGACAAAAAGAAATAGTATTGTTCTACTATTTTTCATTGCTTCCTTGTTACTGTATTCAAATTATTTAAGAAGTTTTACTATTTTATTAGATTTATTCGAGTTTCAAAAATATAAGAGGGTTGAGGTGTACAAAGGTATCAAAATCCGCTCTATATTGATTTATTAATCATAAGGTTATTAAAGACCTCGTGAAAGTAAAGTAACATTGACTCTTTACATGGCCTATAATAATCTTTTAATACACTGTCGTTGCTAAGCAACGCAATGCGCCAAATGCACCCTATTTTACTACACATTAATCTATTTGTTGTGGCATTGCGTAATCTGCAAATCAAATGCCCTCATGT